ATCCCATTGCCCGTTTGCAATACACTCCTCCAACATCATGTCCTCTTCTTCTTTTAAAAGGGGGCCTTGAATAAGGCTTCTAAGAGAACCCGAACCCACCCAATTATCAGACCAAGCAAAAATATCCATCCCATTTCCCACCCCCCATTGAATACAAGCCTTAAACAAATCCTAAACATTTCCCATACTACTCCAGAGATGAGACCCAACAGAAAAAGCTCTAAATTGATTAATGGGTTTAGAGTATTTGTCTTTTAAAACTTCGACAACAAGGTTGCCCTCTTTATTCAACATTCTCCACTAAAGTTTCAATAAGTGAGCTTTATTCAAGGCCTTAAAGCATCTGTCACCCAGCCCCCCACTCTCCTTAGGTCTAGCAATGTGATCCCACCCAACCAAATGGAGACCTCTAGAATTTTCACCCTTCCCCCATAAGAACTTTGCCAAGGAGCTATTAAGGGAATTCAAAACAAAACAGGGATGAAGCATGCATTGCATATAATAGTTGGGGAGGGTATTTAAGGTGGCTGAAACAAGGCATAACCTACCAGCTTTGGATAACATAGCAGCTTTCCAGCTATCTAGTTTCTTGAGAATTTTGTCACAAATGAACTTAACTCTATACTTGGAAGGTCTACTACTAGAGATGGGGAAACCAAGGTAAGGGCTTAAGTCATCAGTCTCTCTAAAGCTCGTAGCATCACAGAAGAGATTTCTATCATTCTGCGAAGTATTTCTAGAGAACAGAACTCTACTCTTAAGCACACTAATGGTTTGACCGAAAAAAGCACAAAAAGTATCAAGGGTGTCCTTAAGAGAAAGAATGTTTTCAAGAGAAGTCTCCCCAAAAAGAAGAATATCATCAGCAAAAAGAAGATGGGAAATGGGGACTTATTTTCTACCCATACCAAAAGGAGACCAGGTTTTCCTATCTACCTCCCTATGAATCAACTGAGAAAGAATCTCCATACAAATGATGAATAAGTAGGGGGAAAGGGGGTCACCTTGGTGAATGCCTCTAGAGGGATTAAAATTCTCAGTAGGAATACCATTAACTAAGATAGAAGAAGTGACTGAAGAAACACAAGACATAATGAGCTCAATTGAAGGGAGGTCTAAGCCAAAGAAAGCTAAGGCATTTCTCAAGAAAACCCACTCAATTTTATCATAAGCCTTCTCCAAATCCAATTTAAGGATAAACCAACCCTTTTTCCCCTTTCTTTTCTTCATGGAGTGTAAAATCTCATTAACCACAATCACATTAGTCTTGGTGCCTCTCCCTGAGAGGAAGCTATTTTGGTTAGGAGAGATCCTAGAAGGGAGAAAACCACGAAGTCTACTGGCAATGATCTTAGTCACTATCTTATACACAGTGTTGCAGAGACTTATAGGTCTGAATTGGGTGATAGAAGTAGGATCAGAGATCTTGGGAATGATGGCTATCAGGGTTTTATTAATGCTCGCAGGGATAGCTTTGTCCTCAAAGATATTCCTAATGAAAGAAGTAAGGTCAAGGTTGATAGTGACCCAAAATTTCTTGTAGAAAAAAGGGTGGTAACCATGGAGCCTTAAAAGAACCCATCTTTGAAATGACCCCCCAAATCTCATGGAGATCAACACTAGTAGAAAATATCAAAAAGGCACCCCCTAATCGGCACCGGTTCAGTCCAAACCGGTGCCAAAAATGGCCTACAAAATTGGTGGGAAGCTAAACCAGAGTAAAAGGCACCGGTTCACTTCAAACCGGTGCCAAAATCATAAAGGCCACCGGTTTGAACCAGTGCCTTTGTGAACCGGACCTTTAATTATTTTTTTTTAAAAAGCCGGCCTCATCTCATTTTATAACCTTAAAAAACAGAGTTATCCTTATCTCTCCTCTCACTCCGCCTCTTTACTCTCTCCTCTCCCTTCTCTCTCCTTTTCTCGCCCTTCTCGATCTCTCCTCTTCTCTCCCTTCTCGATCTCTCCTCTGCTCTCCCTTAATCTCTTCTCTTTCTCTTCGAACACCACCGCAACAACAACAACAACACCACCGCAACAACAACAACAACAACAACACCGCAAAGCCGCCGCCAACACAGTAACATCAAGTTGATTTGGGTTTGTTCGAAGTTGATTTTGGGTTTAATTGATTTGATGAGTGTCTTCGAAATTTTTTATGGGTTTCTTAAAAAAAAATTTGTTTAATCCACCACGAACACATGCATGAGCAAGGTTAGGGTATAATTTCTTGATTTTAATTCGATTTTTTTTTATTTTCTAGGTTGTTAACTGATTTTCGAATTATTTTTTATTTTAATCGATTTAAATTTGTTTTTTTAAAGTGATTTTTGATTTTCTAGTTTGGTTAATCAATTTTTAAACTTATTTTAATTCGAATTTTTTTTAATTTCTGGGTTTTTTTTGTCGATTTTTTTTTATTTTCTGGGTTTTAATAGATGTTTTGGGTTTTATTTTTTGGGTTGTAATTGATGTTCTGGGTTTTTGAACTGATTTTCTTTTTTTTTTTCGATTTTCTGGGTTTTTTTGGATTTTTGAACTGATTTTTTTTCGATTTTCTGGGTTTTTTTTTCGATTCATATTCTTTTTTGAACTGATTTTCATTTTCATTTTCTGGGTTTTTCTTTTCTTTTTTTTCGATTTTCTTTTTTTTTTTTCGATTTTCTGGGTTTTTGAACTGATTCATGTTAATCGATTCATTTTGGTTGTTTTAATTGGTGCAGGTATATGGATTTAGTTCTTAAATTGAAGAATCAACATGCAAGTATATTGATCTTCAATCGAAGAATCAATTGATTTTCTTTTTTTTTTTATTTATATTGTAATTTTTTTTATTTATATGTTGTAATTTTTTTTATTTTGATTTAGCTGTTGTAATTTTTTTTTATCTATACTGTAATTTTTTTTTATTATATATATATAATGAACAGATTTGATTATATTAATATTTTGGCACTTTTGGTTAGTACAGATTTGGTTAATACAGATTTAATTTTTAAGTAAAAAAAAAATTAATATTTTGGCACTTTTGGCACCGGTTAACCGGTGCCAAAAACTGTTAAATAATTTTTTTTGGAATTTTTTGGCATCGGTTAACCGCTGCCAATTCCGAATTTTGGCACCGGTTTGAACCGGTGCCTTTTTAAACCTCTTATTGGCACCCCCCACATTGGCACCGGTTCAAACCGGTGCCTTAAGCCGGATTTGAACCGGTGCCAATTTCATTTTTTCACGTAGTGCAAGGAGATGAGAAATAGAGATCAAGGAGTTAAACTCAGGAAAAGGGATAGGGAAAGCATCCACCTCAGGGGGGGTTGACAAAAGAAGAAGAGAACATATTAGAGAAATAGTTCCTGATGTGGCCTCTAAGAAGGGTAGGTTCAGAGATCTGATCCCCTACTTCCGAACATAAGGAAATGATCCTATTTCTTTTTCGCATAAGGACTGATTTATGGAAAAAAGGATGTATTTCTATCCCCTTCCACAAACCAATTATCCCTAGACTTCATCATCCAGAACAACTCTTCTTGTTGAAGAATCTCCAAGAGTTCTTCTTGCAGATTCTTCTCCAAGTCAAAAAGATAGTTTGAAAACCCATTTGAACCTTGGGGATTTTTGAATACCCTCTAATCTCGCTATGAGGCGAGTCTTTTTCTTAAAAAGATTACCAAACACATTTTATTCCATAAAGCACAGACCGGGGAAAGTTCATTTAATTTATCAAAAAAAATTCTTTTCACTTTTACACCACTCAGAGGGAACAAGGGAGATGAAGGAGGGATCTACACATCACATTGGCTCAAAACTATCAAATTTTTGTCTTTTTTAAAAGAAACTAATATCGTAAAATAAATTTTGTTTTAAAAATAGCACTTAGATGATGGATTTCGGCCAAACTATCAAATTTTTGGCATTTGAAATTTATCTTCGCTCTATCTTTGTGCGCATGTGTCATTAGGATGCATTTACTTGAAGGTTTATAAATCTAATTGATGAATCTACCATTGCCTCCCCAATTGAAAGCAGAATCTTTTGGATTTCAACTTATGGAACTTCAACAACAAAAGTTTGCATAATTAAAACCTTTAACGGATAAATGAATGAGGACAGGGAAGAATGTAGGTAGAAATGATTTGAATTTCCTATTTATGCATTGGCTAGCTCTCACATGTAGGGGTGAGCATGGAACGGGTACCCATACCGTTAGTACTAACGGTTTGGGTACCCGATAACCAAAATCACTAAAAGTGATACCCATAACTGGAACCGATAAGTTCGGGTACCCGGATTTTCGGATCGGTTATCGGGTACCCAATAAGATATCCAATAATGATAATTAAACTTAATTATGTAGTTATTATGATATAATTTACAACTAATTAACAACATTACCATATACTCTTAACCAAATTATTAATAATATTACTAATCATTGATATTATAAAGTGATTATGAAGTAAAGTAAAAGTTTAGATTTATATTAATAGATTTAAGTAGGGAAAAAAGCAAAAACTATACTTATCGGATCGGATCGGGTAACCGTTAGTTTTAAAATGATACCCATAACCATACCCGATAACAAATTATTGAAACGGGTACCCGAACCGTTATACTTATCGGATCGGGTACCCTAATTTTCGGAACGGTTTTTCGGGTAGTTTTACTCAGCTCTACTCACATGCTCCATTGTGACCCAAATTGTCAGAAATTAAAAAACCAAGCATCACAAACTTTACTTTTTGGTCGTAATGGGTCATTAAGGTGTCATATTTAAAACAAAACATCTTCATTGAAAAAAAAAGCAAACTAACTTGGATAAGATAAATTAGTGCTTACAAATAAATTTCAAGTCATGAAATGTCAAGATAATTAACAAAACATTAGGGGTGAGAATCGATCCCAGGATCTCCTGGAATCGGGAGGGAAACTCTAACCACTTGAGCTATCCCTCACTCTAAAAAAAGTTGTCGATTATGATTAACAAATTAAGACCCTATTCTTTTGAGTTTTTGGGCAGAGCAGATTGGACTTCTACATATTGCGAAGTAGAGCAGAACAGATTTGATTTCAGCATCAGAGCAACTCTAAAGAATACGAAGTATGACATAAATAAATACAAACTAAATTCTGGGGCATCGCTTTATACGCCGGGGCCATTTTGCTCTTAAATGGCGTTCCATATAAAAAAGTGTCAAATGTAAAAATAAAAAAAAAAAAAAAAAAACGGTGCCAAGTCAGTCGTCGGCGTGCGTTTACCATTTTCTCTCTGAATCCTCACTAATCCCGCCGATCATGACTCCCGATTCTCCCTCTGTTGTCCGTCTCAACATCGGTATTCTCTCTCTTTCTCTCTCCTATCTCATCTCTTTTTCTCTACATATTTTCATTCCTTCATTAACAACCAAAGAATTTTGATTATCAAGAGTATAATTCAACTGTGATTCACTTCAGTTTTTTCTGATTTTCGTTATTCTTCAATCTTTTGATGTTTTTTTGGGCAATTTTAAGCAAAATGCAACTTAATTGGAACTGAATTACCGTTTAATTTTACCCTTTTTTGGTAATTTATGCTGAAAATTGAAGTGGGGTTTCTTGATTGTGTTTGAGTATTTGTTGTTGATGATTTGAATGTTAGGAGGGAAGAAATTCTGTACAACAGTTGATACATTGACGCAACGTGAACCTGATTCGATGCTTGCGGCGATGTTTAGTGGTCGCCACACTGTTTGCCATGATTCTGACAAGGTTACCCTTGTTGCCTTCTTTTGTATTGACTAGGTGTTTATTGTTTATGTTGTTATCGCGATGATTTTGATATTTGATCATGGATAAATGTGTAAAGAGTGTAGTTGATTCTCCGGTAAACCAAGTAAGGCGAATTAGTAGGTGAAAGTGGTACATTTTGGCCTAATTTAACATTATTAGGGTGTGATTTGCATATTATTAATGGAAAATTAGGTGACATTGGATTATAGATCAATGTTATGATGTTAACAGTAGTAATTAAGTGTATAGATTAGTTGATTGAGTGTAAAAAGTTCTCAGTCAATGATTTCGTTGGGGAATTGTAGAAAGTTACATGATGAATATTGATAAGTGAAGTTCGCTCTGATTTTTGTGGGGCTTTGGGGAGGGGCTAGGATTAGTGGGTTGAATGTCAGAAAGAGCAAGTCAAAGTTCTTAACCTAACATAAGGAACAAAATTTTGTTTATAAGTTATAACTAGAGGAACTGGGAGGGGGGGGGGGGATTTTGGGAGATTCAATGTTTTGAGAAATTTGAGGTTAACAGGATGAATTTTATAGATGGAAATGCATAATGCATATGTCAAAATTTTGTCTTATGTACTCATGTCGGGCAAGGGCATGGAATTTTTAATCTACATGACAAATGAACCACATATAAATAAAGAGTAGAGTACAAAGAAAAGGAAAATGAAGAGAAATTTATATGATATACGTTCAAATTTGAGCTTCGATCCTATCATCCTAATTTAACAAGAACTAGCGAATAAATTAAACATGATGTCTGTGTTTATGCATTTGTAACATGAAAAACACATGCAACAATCTTTAAAATCAGGATACTGTTGCATATATGTTGTATCGGCATTCCACACCTGCTTTCAATTTTTGGATAATGCCCTTGCGTCTCATTAGCCTTAAGCAGTTTAACATTTTGGGGGTATGAACCTTGTTTTTGTGGTTGAGCAATTCCAATTATTTTTCCCAATATTTAAGCTCTTATTTTTTTTAATGAAGGCACACTCACATACTCCTGATCCTAAATGGATTCCATTGAAGTTTCAATACTTTAAACCAGCCAGATAATCATTTTTGGTAAAATGTAACTCTGGTCTCGTAAGCTTTGCACAATAGTCAGTTTCAATGCTTGGCATCTCACATAAACTCAGATGTCCATGATCTTACAAAGTTATAAAGTCAGGGTTTAAATCGCAGAGGAACCTCTTTTTTTGTAAAATTAGTTTTGTAAGAAGTGATGACAATAGGAACTAAGTAAATTTCCTCCTCTTCAACCAAACAAGAAAAAGCTATTCTCTTATATAGGAAGAAAGAAAAATATCTCAGTGACTGCCTTAATATAATCTATTGTCATGCAACATCTAATTTCTCAATCTTCAGGCATATTATTTGCTTTGTTATAACTTTTAAGTAATAAACTAAATGTAACTTATCTTCAGGGCTATATCTTTGTGGATAGAGATGGTGAACATTTTCGACATATCTTGAATTGGCTACGGGATGGTATGATTCCCAACTTAAAGGACTCCGATTATGCTGAGCTACTACGAGAGGCCGAATACTATCAACTTCTTGTAAACATAACTCTTTTCACCTTTACATCTTTCAGATCTAATTTTTGTATGATATAATTGATTGTCCTATACTTCTACTACCTCCGTTTCTTATTATGTGCAACAAAGGAATATTTTATGTCTCACGAATAATACCCCTTTTTTGCACATAATAAGAAACGGAGGTAGTATATGCTTTACGCCAATTTGCATTGCTATTGCCAATGTGTTTTCAATCAGTGATTGCATCCAACAGTGAGCAGGATGGTGATGGGTGAGTGGGTGACTATACAAAAGAAAATGCAGTATAATTAACTGCCTATATCCTAGTCCCTCACCCTCTCGTCCTTGTTGACATTTAGTTGTTTACTAAAATGTTAAGAAATATGTTCATAAATGTTGAGTGGAGTGTTCTCCAATGTCTGCAATTTGAAAGTTTGCGTTGCAATTAAGATCTGAACTTCTTGATGTGACTAGATGAATAAATAGCATGCACCTAGTGGAAAGTTACTTCATTGGAAGATATACAACTGGATTGTTAATGAGACTGATAAAGTGATAAGTAATTGAAATTTTAATAACAGAAAAGGGTGTATCAGTGTGATGTTTCTATATAAGCTGTATGCGAGGAAAGGTTCAGTGAGTCTCTTTGTGATTCCTCCCTTTGTCTCACCTGCTTTTAGTTTTTGGTGGTGAGCCTTACTCAATTGCCTGGCTCTTGTCTTATACTCATGTTTGATTTATTTTTTTTTGTATTTACTTATTCGTTGCAAATTTTGATGATGATCTCTGTATTAGTGCTTCACTAGAGGAAAAATAGTAAATAAGACAGAATTAGAAGGAAGACAATTCAATCTTTTGAAGTTTAAAAATTTCAAACAATAGAAGGAAATATTTGATTCATAGAATATGTAGCATGGTCCCAAAAGGAAATGAATACAGTCCATCTGTCAGATTTAAAGATAACTGACTTTTGTCATTCTATCCTTCTGCTAGATGAGGATTTGTACCTTGAAATGTATGTGGCAGTGGGGCCTTTGATTCTAAAAAATATGACTGGCTGATATTTTTAAAATAACTCAAGTTACTTTTGATTGTTATGCTTAAGTATGCATCTTTGTTGTGGGACATGCTATGATTATTGTAATCATATGCCAATATAATATTTACACTTACTGCACATCCTGTTTAAGTTAGTACTATTTGGAATGGGAAAATGCAGCCTGATGTAATTTGCTAATTGGTAAAAACTGGAAAACTGCACATCCTGTTTAAGTTAGTACTATTTGGAATGGGAAAATGCAGCCTGATGTAATTTGCTAATTGGTAAAAACTGGAAATTTTTTAATTTATAGATTGCAGTTTAAATGACAACTTTACAATGAGACTCAATGACAATTTTCTGGGACATTGTGGCTTAACTTGTTTCTTAATGCTGTTCCTTGCTAATAGTGGACAAGAAAAAGTTTGATGATTGTTCAAATATGAATTTTTCCATTGCTATTCATGCCTATTCCTCTTTTCATGCGTAAATTTGATTTGTAATACTGGAAGGAAGACACTTGAAAGGTCGGAAACACTGCATGTTGTGTAGCTTATCATTACCTAAATTTTTTGCATGAACTCAAAATGCTCATTTACAACTTTTCTATTCTGATTCAATTAGCTGGGAAGGTTGATATTGCATTTACTGAACATGAGAATGGATTTTGTTGTCAGGGACTAATAGAGAGAATAAATACAGCTCTAAGTAAGAAGAAAGACGAGGATGATAATCCTGAACTAACCCGTCGTGATATTATTAAGTGCATACAGTCGGAGAAAGTTAAATTTCGAGGGGTGAATCTTTCTGGGCTTGATCTCTCTAAACTGGTAATGTAAAATGCTCATGCTGTTTCTGAAAATGTAATCTACCTAATTTTTCTCTTATTATTTCTGCTATTCAGGACATTTGACAAATAGAATTTCACTTTCTGACATAATGGAAACTTTAGCGTTAGGTTCTGTTAATACCTCTGGCCCGATTTTTTTTCCTTTCCTCTTCCATTAGCAAATGTGTGTCACTAGATCCAGGTATAACGTGGCTTCCATTTACCTAAGGTGACTTATCATTGTGTAAAATCTTTTTCTATATTAGTACTAGGATTACCGGATTAGATAAAGGTCTGATCTTTCTTCTTTACATTCAGCAACTTTGTTTTGACTTGTTTTAGTTCTACTTAGTTTACAATTAAATTGTGTCTTTCTTTCGATGAGAGCCTGTTTTATTTTTATCTGGATGAAAGGTGAACTGGCTAGACAAGGCAATCAAAATCACCCACTGGCGTGTTTGGTGTAATTTCTTCAATTATCTACATCTTTCCAAACACTTAAGGTGGCATTTAGTTGGGGGAGTTAATAAAGGAAGTTCAAACCTCTTAACCCTTAGTGAGTTGTTGATTTGGGCTTTCATAATTTTTTTCCCCTTTCCCCTTTTTCTGTTTGGACTTTACCCCAACTCCTGTTCCTGGAAATATGATGGGAAAAGTGGCTGTGATGGTCAGGTTGTTAGGTAAAAGAAAGCAATTTTGGTAGTGAGATGAAGCAAGTGCAGTGGTTGAGAGAGAGAGTTTTTTTTTTTTTTTTTTTTTTTTTTTGGGGGGGGGGGGGGGTGGGGGTTGTGTTGGCAAGTTAGGTAAAAGAATTCAGATTGCGTGATCTTGAATGAAGGTAGAGTTGCACTTGAAAGTGTTTCTCAAAATTACCTTATGTTTTGGACTTGTGTTTTTGTTGAGAACAAAGTCCTTGCTATCTTTAGCACTATTTTTGTTCAGTGTTTGTTTCCAAATTATCTGCTATATTCTCTATATATACATGTACTGTCATATGATTATTTTTTGTATATCTGATACCCTGTAATTACATTGTGTTCAGGATCTTTCAGATGTGGATTTTAGCCATGCTTCTCTTAAGGGTGTATTCTTCTCTCGTGCAAACCTTCAATGTGCAAAATTTCGGGTGTGTAAGTTTAAGTGTCTTAAGGGTTTACTTGTTGCAGTTCATATTTCATATTATCAGATGCAACCCTAAGAGTTTCTATAGTGTGATTTCTTCATCTATTTTTGCAGGATGTAGATGCTGAAGGTTCTATCTTTCATAACGCAACATTGCGTGAGTAAGTAACTTGAAGAAAATTTTGAAATTATTTAATAAATATTATAATTGAGTTGCATTTTTGTCTTTGCCACAGCTACTCTGGTTTCTTATGTCTCTTTTAGATGGTTTACTTCGTATATTTATAATTTCTGGGGTGCTGATGGGTTTGTCTTACCTGTTGAAGATGTGAATTTACTGGGGCAAATCTTCGTGGAGCTTTACTGGCAGGTGCCAACCTGCAGAGTGCAAACCTGCAAGGCAATCCTTCTTATCAATCTGATTTGTTCTGAATTTGTTTTCCCATTATCTATTACTATGAAGAATACCTGTGCTTTTTGTTCAAACTCCAATGCACATTGTGCACAGTTTTTTTTTTTTTTTGTTATTGAAAGTATGTGATTTCTATACTGCAAGTGAATGATTTTCCTGTATAGTTTGTTGCTTTGCTTTCTTTTTCTCTATGTTGCTATCTAACCAACCCTACTCCCCAAAATACTTCCTTCACATGAGAACCTTCCACCAGCGTCAGCTCTAGCTCTGTTGCTTCTTTGTCGATACTAATGCTGTTTAAATACTTTTTCCAAATCTTGAGCTGGTTTGATGAGAATCCAAGGCCATTTTTTTTAATTCCCATACAGCACCTAAATTGGACTGTACTCGAAATTCCTAATCATATAGAATTCTGAGGTATCTAAGTAGTTTCAATATATTTTATTTTATTTAAATTATTACTTAATCTTATGGTTCATCTGACATAAAAAAAAATTGGTTCACTGTGTTTGACATAAGCTCTATAGAAGGCACACCGCACTCACCTATTATATTCTTTTTCTTTTCTTTTTTTTTTTTTGGGGGGGGGGGGGGGTGGGGGGTTGCTAAGTATATTCGCTCTTTTTTCCATCAATGGTTCTCTTTTTCACTGATAGAATTGCTTGAATGTTCATGATTTGACTAATGGTGCTATGTTTCAGGGGATCTTAACTAATGCATAGTTACCCTTAGATGTTAGGGGGCATTGTTGTTTTGTAGTGTCCTTATGAGAGATCAATGAAAGGGGATTTGGACATAGCCTATAATATCTATGTAGTGTTTTTTTGGTGTTCTACTGAACTTAATATCATTTCACATACAGTTATACATATTGAAGAGCTAAACGCCTTGCTTTACTTTTCCATCTACAAGTTACAATACACTTAAGTTATGTAACACAAAATTTAAAACTCTAACCAAACGTAATACCTATACTATACTTGTATATTATGACCCTAATGAGTGTTACTATATTATCTGATTAACCTGGAATCACAAACCACAACATGCAAATTAGGACCTAGTACATTGGTACACTATCAGATTAGTTTAACAAAATTAGGTAATGAGTCGCGTTCTCATGCCTGTAGAGCATACCAAAGTATAATTGCTTAAAACATTAATGAACTTATCTTTTTGCCTGTATATAATTTTAGAACATGCCTTTCGAATTTACTAAACCTTTTCATTACTTGCAGATGCTTGTTTGATTGACTGTAGTTTCTGTGGAGCAGATCTGCGTTCCGCTCACTTGCAGGTTTGCTTCTTATCACTAAATCTTAATTCCTGTGCACTTGTATCTAAGTATCTTGTGTTGGATTCAGATTGCTACTAATTTGCTAAGACAAAATAACAGGAAAAATGAAGAGAGAGAATTGATTCTTCACTTGCAAAGATTAAAGCTTTTTATACTAGCAACTTTATGCTGCAAATCTCTTAGGTAGTGATCAATAGCCATTCTCCAATAGTGACTTAAGGTCATCAATCTCCTAAAACTCTCTTATCAATTGCCTGCCTAGTCCCTTCTCATCTCGCTCTATTTATAATAAATCTAAAGACTATTAACTTAATCATACATTCATACTAGACTACCCATAATGCACCTCGTTAGGTCAATTTATTACCTATCTTTTTAGTTTTAACCCAATTGTGTCTTTATTTCTTTCTTTCTTTTTTTTTTTTTAGAAAAAATTAAAAAAAATATTATTAATAGCTCAAACACCAAACATCAACAAGCTGCCGTAAAATATTGACTAATATCATCAATCTTGCTTTCACAGTTATCACCTAAATGTACCTCTGTTCTTTCTTTCTTTCTTTTTTTTTTTCTTTCACAGTTATCACCTAAACTTGTCATTACTGTATGTCCATATTGAACTGAAAATCACGTAATGCTGATGATAAAGGTTGATATCAAATTTGGTGGTGAAAAGGTACCACAATTGTGTACGGAATTGAATAATAAAATCCAAATGGGAACTGCTTGTCAGTACGAAGATTGGAAGAGTGGGATCTTGGAGGGGTTAAATGAGGGAGAGGGTAACTTGGTTGGAAGGAGCTAGGAAGGATATGAAGTTTTTGGATTTGCATGAGGATGCAGTATTATCGTAGGAGATCGAGGAGGAAGATTTTTGTCGATGACTACACAATCACTTTTGGTTCATGTAGCCGCTCCCACTTATGGGATTTAGTCTTTGATTGATTGATAATGTTTTAACAATTGCCAATGTTCAGGGTCTAAAGTTGATCATTTTTGTATAAATTATGAAAAAAATACATACATACATTTATAGTGAGTCTACAAACCAATTTGGGCTGTTGGATCTGAGTTATTTAATCAAGATGAGAACTTGAGATCTGATAGGATAATCAAGATGCCATACTAGTCTTTGATGGAAAATGCATCTGAATCAAATAAACATCTGTATCATTTACTTTTACAGGTTTCTGTTTTTTTTACGAATTTTAAATTAAACAAACTACTTCTGTACAACAACTTTTGAGGCTAGAGCAACAATTTAAAGAAATTTGTTGTCAATTTTCCTGTTTGATTTTGATCATTATTAATGTCTTTTTTCTCATAAAAAGTTAAATTATGGTTTGGATATTTCCATTAGGGTGCGTGGTTTTGATTTGTCTGTGCACTACGATGTATGTACTGGGTAAGGGTAAGTTAAGTTGTGAAGTGTGAATTTGACCTATTATAGATCACAATTTGGGTCATTGATGATTTGGTTATTAAACTGATATTATTGAAGTTGAGATTTGCATGTGAACGACGGAAATCTTACTGTTATACTGTGGATTAAGTTTGGACCAGAGGTTATTCTTATTCACTATTTAATAAGGGTAGTGTGACTTGATCTGCGGAGTTTGACTAGTTCTTATTAGTTAGGACTTAGGACATATTGACAAACTAGTTTATTCAACAGCTTAATTTGCCTAACACTTTTAATACACCAGACTAGATTAACCATTACCAACTTCTAGCTAGCCCTTGCTAACTTCAGCTCATGTTATTTCAAATAGAGCCTAAGTTGAAGTATCATATTGTATGATTGAAATTTTATATACTTTGCCCGAAATGAAGCTGTCTGCTCGTATTTTGTAATTGCTTGATTTACCTGCATGTTAAAGTTTTTAAGATGCAACTATGCAAGTCATGATGGTGTTTATTTGACTACCTTTACAGCTTTACTTGCCGGAGTGCAGATCTTGATTTAAAAATATGTATCTTGATTTAACCTTTACCTGCATGAAAAAAAAATATATGTATGTGAGTTGATTTAAGATGCAAGTCATGATGGTGTTTACTTGACTACCTTTACTTGCCAGAGTGCAGATCTTACCAATACCAACTTAGAAGGCGCTAATTTGGAAGGGGCCAACTTGAAGGTAAGCTTTTAGTTGATTTTAGCTTCTCTGCTGTGCATCAAAATAGTCTGTGTCTAAAAAAACTTGAAATTTGGAGCAATAAATTATGACATGATAAGGTCACACTAATCAGAGAGACTGCAACAAAGGAAGGCATAATAAATGACTTGCAATGTTTTTCAGGGGGCAAAGTTGACCAATGCTAGTCTAAAAGGAGCAAATCTTCAGCGAGCTTATTTACGACATGTTGATCTTCGGGAAACGGTAAGTGATGCATATTTTTCAACAAAACTTTCATTATCCGCTACTTTTCCACTTTGGGATGACCTTATTTTGTGGGAAAAGGGAGTGTGGGTGGTGATTTTAATGGAACCAATGAAAAAATTAGCAAAAAATAAAATCTTAATTAAATAAATGATAAGCTTAATGATATCAAGGGTTATAATCTTGTATCCCACACAAAGTATGGTCAAAATTGAATAATTACAAAGATTGAAGCTCACAAAGATGCTAGGAGAGAAAAATAAAAAATCTCAAATTGATGATAGGCAAAAATTGATCTCACAACAAAATTTTCCCCATTTTACAGAGTGGGTTACACTTTTTAGTTTACCCTAAGTAAATACTAACAAAAGCCCTTAGGTTACAGAGAACAGTAAAGATTAACTTGTTAAAACATAAAAGAAAGGCCGAAAAATTGCTCTGCAGACTCACCCCGAACTGGGGAATCCACTCAGGTTGAAGTATTTGCCAAACCTGGAATACTGAAACTGCAGATACTTGAGCTGTTGGGGAAAAAAAATCCCTGAGCAATGAATTCTCAGGAATGCTATTTGAAACAATTCCCCTTGGCTAGCTTTTTGACAAAGAGTATTTCTCCGGTTGGAACACTCATTAAGAACATTCCCCATGACCTTGCTTTTTGACATAGAATCCTCTTAACTTTTGCTTATGTAAAGCAAATTAAGGCTTGGGACGGTCAAACTTGTGTGTTGATCTCCCAAATATCCTCCACTAAAGACTAAGAACCACCGTGGGGCCGTGAGGCACACCACCATGATATGTGATGCTTTATGTGATGCTTCCGTGATTTCCACTTCTATCAATTCTAATGCTCCCACATCTGTAAGTTCACCCAACTATTGCTTTTACAAACATCTGCCCCTACTGCACAATTTTGTTCTTTGAAAAATTCTAACTTATAAATGTGTCCAGTATGCTTGCTTTATTTTTGGATATAAATAGAATATCGATGAACATGTAGGAACCAAAAAATTGTGCAGTTAGCAGCTTTATCACCTTTATGACCTGTCCATGCTCGTTTCTTGGTAGAATGTTATCTAGTTTTCCTTTTAACATAATTGAGCATACTTTATGTTCTTAACTCTGTAAAATTAGTAATTTATCACTCTAGTTTAACTTGGTTGTGTTATTTCTATAACTACTTTTAGTAGAATTGTACTTGCATATCAACATCAATAAACTCCCGTCTGGCTTAAGAGAAAGCAAAAGTTGCTTTGTGTATACAAATTAGGAATAATGGTGTTGCGGTATTAATATCTATCATCACATATTTTGATATTTAAGACCAAAGGGTATGTTGTATCACCTAGGAGCGTTTGATATGCATCTTGTTTTTTAATTAGATTTTAAAGCTATGGCCTCTTTTGGTCAACACTTCCTGTCATATTTATCTATTTATCCTGGCTAAGTTTCGAATATTTCTTTTGAGTGCGCTTAATTTGTCTTGATTGAATATCTATTATAAATCTATAAAACAGGACGTCATGGTTTCTCACATTGATGCAAGACTTTTTTCAAACCAAGTAATTTTTTCTTTTTCTCACATCAGGATTTGGGAGGTGCAAAGCTTGATGGTGCGAATTTGCTAGGAACTATTCGATGACACAAGCATTCTGCACACACATATTGTGTGCATCGTTGTCACTTACTAGTTAATACTTTTCTAGCCCAGAATGTCGAATTTGGATGGTTTCAAGTCAAGTTTCAGATGTATCGAAGATGTCTAATGTCTGTTGATTGTGTTTAATGTCCCCATTGTCCATATGGTTGCTGATGGACCTTGGACTGATGGATCTTGCCCATTTGTATAGCTAAGAATTCTCAACATCGTTAATGTGTGATTTTGTCCATTAATTATTATTCTTCCTCCAACAATTATAGCGAAGAACTGTCTAACCCTTGGCTACCAAGGTTGGCTTTATCCTCGCGTGTAGTCCTGTCATTCTTTGATTTTGGTAGTGGCCACTGATCACATGCCTGGCCCTTTGCTGTGTACAATTGATGGTACCCACATTTGCGTTGCTACCTTTGCAAGTCCTAGCGTAATACTCGAGTTTTCATTGTGATACACCAATACATACCAATTTACGACTATCACAGAATGTTTTTTTCAATCGTATGGGTGTTAATTTTTTCTTCATACTTTACCTATATAATTACTGGGATTCTTTTTGGTCATGACGTGCATACTGTTGAATAACAAAAATTTCAGTGAACCCTAATGTTTGCCGCTGATTCAACCACCATCCCTCCCCCTACTATGCACGTCACTGGTTTTAGTGAAAATCACAATGTAAACTAAAAAATAGCATATTTTGAAACTATTCATTGAAATTTACCCCATAATTATATGACACTTATTCTTACTTCCTCCATTCTTTTTTACTTGACCCGCTTTGACTTTTACACTATTTACCACCCTTCTTTTGACCGCGTTTTGTGAATAATATATAAGGAAAAACATATTTATGTTGGATCATTTTGAATTCGTCTCAATAAGTACTATCATAATATATAACTTTTATATTTTTTAAATATGGAGAATTAAAGTTATTAACCGTTAAAGTTTTGTATTGGCAAACGTGATAAAAGAAACAGGTCAAGTAAAAAAGAATAGAGGAAGTATATTATAGCGCTACCGCAGTGGAAGTTAAAATAGATAAGTGTAAACAATCGAAATGATGCATCAAATGATAAATGGATGAAGCATTGTTGTTAAAGATTAGTCTGTAGCTGAAAATGTATTTCACCAAGTCAAAATGTTGAAAAACAACTGTAGGTGAATACAGTAATGGAAGATTTGCAAACTTGGTGTTAGACCATTAAACCCAATGAGAAATCTATTAATCAAAATCTAGTATTAGCAAATTACAGGCTCAAAGCTCATCCTTAACTGATTTTTTAATTTAACATCAAGAGCCTCTTCAAATTTATAGTCTTTTCGACTAAGAATCTCCCATCTGCAACCAAACCTTAACAGAAAACCAGTGGCACCATTTGAATTAACTGGCATAACTGAACCAATAGCGCGATCCTGAATAACTCCATGCCAACATCCTTAATGGTTTGATAAGGGACTTGCTCACTTTACCTTCTTTGTGAGATCAGCAGTTCGGTATATGGCATCATCCTTAATGAAGCTCCACCACAGGTAGGTGAGGGGAATGGTGCTGGCATGCCAAAGAGCATGTGCATCAACAAATCCTTCATAAGGTGGGAAATCATATATCTCCAAAAGCATTGCAAGTCCACCAGCTATGACTACAAACCACAGCTTCCACCGCGAAGGATGATGTGAGACACCAGCCCAGATTGTCCATATGAGAAGTTGGGCAAAAGCCATGACCACACAGACTTGCATGTTCCATCCTGTTTCCAATCACAGCCCATGAGTAAGACCAGGTAAAGGGGTAAATTGCACTAATACGACTATAATCTTAGCCATAAGCTGGATAAATGTATACTAAGTTAACAGCATGAAATAGTACGAAGTAGGTACTTCTAAAATGACAATATTTTATCCATTCTCTAAAAATCTTCTAAATGTACCATGGTGTTTTTCCTGGTCTACCCTTCTCCCATGGACAGATGGACAGCATAAGAATATAGAAATAAAGGCAAATCATTCTCAGAGAGATCTATGATGCTACATAAGAATATTATCTAGTTCAACTATAGTTTGTGAAATGAAGGCATTGTAAATTTGTAACGTAGCTTATCATAGACAGGTGCTATCCAAGAAATAATGGATTGCTAGTTTGGACTTTGGACTTCAGCATTGGGAGAGCAGAAAAAACCATCATCTTCAACTAAATACAGTTGAATAAAGCTACAATAGGATTAGCGTGTATTAATCATGTCTGCATCAACTCTATCCAAGAGAATCGACCACAAATCCACAATTATCCATGGGTAAAGCTACAAAGATCAAATGAAGCAATAGCTAGCTAGAGTTTTGTTCTTTTCACAAGTGTGCTCAAGCTCAACACATCAACATAATAAGTATTTGGATCCAACTAAAACCTGATTCCCTAATCAATTAAAATGAGGTCCAAGTCATTTAAAGTTACTGATGAATTAGCATACCCACTTTGACAACAAATGGAAATGATAAGGTTTCTGTAATTAAACGAGCAAGTTAGATTGCTCATATGATATCATTACTATGTGTCCTTTACGATGATAGGCAAAAGGTTGACTTGCACACTTCATCTTTTTTCACATTTATAATAAATTAAGGACCCTGAAGCTGGAGCTAACTTATGCAATGAGTATATTTAACCTATAGAGCGAAGCATCACCATTGCATGCAATTCTCAAGGCAGATCACTTTTAGTAAGATATTGAGTCTCTCTTACCATAATCCATTTTGTAGTAGTTAAGGTACATTATGTGAGTGGCTATGAAAGCCAGAAGTGGAGCAGCCACCATGACTCTAGCAGCCTCATCTCGAACACGGAAACTTCTCATTATTGAAACAATGAGTGAATACCCAAGTATAGCCACTGCAGATGAGTAATCAAGCTTCTCTGTTAAATCAATGTCTCTGCAATGCAAAAACCCATATTGATCAGTTTTTGTCTTTGAGAATAATAGAAAATACATTACTTTTAGTCCCTACAAAAGAGAGTGCATAAAAAACAGCTATGTTTACAATAATGCACCAAAGAGCGAGACCCTAGAGAACCCAGCACTTTAAAGGTACGATCAGACAAGTTGTCTAATAACTATTTGATACACCTCTCGTGCATCTTCACAAATATGTAAAAGTAACTTTAGTTATTGTACACAATTCAACCCCATGACCTGGGGAGTGCAAGAAAACACTGGAGAAGCAAGAAATGCAATTCAACCTCAATATTAAAGTAGTTGCTACAATTGACAGCTGTTTATGTTAGGATACTCGAGAAAAGAAACTTAGGTTCACTAAAAGTTTAAAATGAGCCTTGCTTGCTAATGAAAAGGCTACATACATCTTGACTTCCCTAGACCCTGCTTTATTTCTTTAGTAGATAATATATAACGCAGCATTAGTGGTTGTCATACATGGCTGTACTACTGATATTCATGCCCTGCCTAATCTTCAAATTTTCTGTTCAAATGAGGATATTAGCTAGTTCTAAATTTTCCTTCTTACTCCATGCTTTAAATCATTTGGACTATATCAATCAGCCAAAATATAGAATCAGCTCCTACAAGATATATATCAGTCCTGAAGAACAAATCAACAAACTAAAAGACTTTTTCCCCTTGTTATTTAAAAATCTAGAAAATGAAAATCCAAGTGCATTTAACTTTCACTGAAGCACTACTTCATGCACCATGACTTCCTGGCCTCAAATGATACTCCCACACAACCACAAGATAGACCTGCGAGGCCTAGAAATGATGATGAAACAGAAAGTCAATAGGTAATATGAAATTAGGTTTGTTGCCTGGAACCTATTGAGGCACCCTATGCCCGCCCACTTCCAGAGGTAAACTTATTAATTTTAACCATTTTAAAGTGTTCAAACCTAATATGGATAAAGTGTTTGCTGCTGAGATTGCAGGCATCACCCAGTCAGGGTAAAGAAAAAGAAAAAACACTTCTTAAAGATGACCAAGTATAAAGGACTTTTGCTTCCCGCTTTTCTTCTGGATTATCATGTCTATTAATAGATATGTTCAATGAACAAATTCAAAAAGATACCTTGAATTAACTTTAAGAAAAAAGCTTACCGACTGTGGAAAACAGCACTCCAGAACCAAGAATTAAGGGATAGGAAGCCATATATATGCCATAAATTGGTGTATTCATAATAAGTTTCATCTTGCTTTAGGGGAAGCTTATATTGTAGAAGGATGTAAAAGGAAAGCCAACCACTGAAATGCATTAAGAGGTTGAGGATAGATAGCGCCACTGAAACAGGTTCCTGCAAAAATAAACTGCTGACAATGGATAAGCCAGACATAAATGAGGAAAATCAAGTTCTGACCAGAATTTTTGTTGATCAAGCAGGTTTACTGAGTGCACAATTTATACAAAGATTATCTACAAACTTAACAGTATGAGTGTATGACAAACCTGAAGTCCCAGTACACGTGTGAAAGGCCATTTTCCATGATATTTAACAGGTTCAAGACCGAGTGATTGTCTTTCTCTTTCTCTGTCAATCATGCAATAGTAGCGGCAATCGTTGAGGCAATCAGATTGTTTCCATTTCAAGTAAAGAGGCTCTTGCATGTACCATGGATTGTGGACTGAACCACCATCTGAAGAAGAATTGCATTGTGGAAAGCATTTCTCACCAATACACCCACTGCTTATGCACTGATTCACACAAGACCTGCAAACAAGCCCAAAAGATAAGGCTGATGAAAATACACATAGGACGTGCAACATTCCAGATAAGAGAAGAAAAAAGCATAAAAGCACACAGGCTACAAGTCTACAATTAAAGGTAAATCCAAAATAATTGCACATGAAACTTGACTACAGAATTATTGTCACCAATTGCTTTCCTGAGGCATGTATGATTCTTAGTTTTTCCAACAGTAAACAATGAAGCAATCACCCACTTCATACAAAGAAAACCATCACTATCATAGAAAGAATCAGTCCAAAGATTTCCAGAAACTCTAAATTAGATAAATGGACTAATTGATGCTTCCTCTCTTACCTTTACAGCTTTACCTCCAGTGTTATCCACAATAGCCTTAGTACTAGAGTCATCAAAAAAGGAAACCTGACTATGAAAACTAACATTCTGAGCCTCTAATTCCTTAGTACAAGTTATTACTCGTATAAATAAGGTATGAAACTGCACTGCTTCCTTAGTTTCAAGTTATTACTTGTATAAATAAGCTTGTTTCAAATTATCAGAACCCTGAATTTTACTAATCAATGTAATTATAAAGGTGTCCTGATGGGCCCTAAAGCGCATTTTATAGAGCTTTGCACACATATAATTCTGTACTTCACACAATATGTCAAACAACAAGCAATCACAATCGTA